CGGTTTTTTTTTTTTGTCAAAGTTCTTTTGTAAGAACTCTATGTAGACCTGCGATTGCGACTGTTACCGCAAATGATAAATTTATTTAATTTGCCATAAATTGCCGAAGTAACTAAGACGACGCACGCAATGACAACGCAACCCCTGAGTTCTCTGGCCCCTTAACCCTCCAGAAGTCAACCCTTAACCCTCGATTCCCCTTTCCCCCTGACATGCAGAGTATGTCTTACAGCAAAAGTTTATGCAAAACAAGCCACAAAAATTAACGTTTGTCACATTGCGCATGGAATGCGACAAATCAGTGGCAAAACTTTAACCCGCAGACAGGTCTCTTTTTGGGGCGGTGGCAAAGGAGGGGGCGGGGCAGGCAGCAGGCAGGCAGGCAGCAGGCACACATGCCAACGTCAAACAATTTCGCCGATTTGGCTTTGGGTTGCCAAACAGAATGAGTTGAGGAGGAGTTTTCGGCCAACAAGTTGTTGTCGCCGCTATTTTTTCGGTCCCCGGTTTTTGTTTTGAGCTTATTTATGCGACATTTTCATTGTGTGTTTACGGTTCCGAAATGAATAAGTGAAATGTGGAATAGATTGAAGAAGCGCCAAAAACGACGGGCCTTTGGGGGGGGAGGGGATTGGCTCAAATGGGGTGGAATATTGGGTGGAAAACTGGGGCTGCGAGGTGGGCCAGAGGTAAAGAACCGCTGCTCGAGCTTGGGCAAACAGAGTCACATGCAAAGGCGCACTTAAAACTGCAGACGCCACATAATTGTCGCCCCTGCAGCTGCTGCAGCATAAAGGCCCCCTTTTTCCCCCTTTGCCTTTATCACTGGTTTTCCCACACAGACAAAATCGGTAATCGAAACCAAATTGGTCAGCACTTTAATTTTAAATAAGCCAAGTGCACTTTTAGTTATGGAAAATAAGCAAAATTAAGTAGCACAATTAATGTAATTTCAAGTGAAAATGTGATCTTAAGTGATTCGTTAAAATCATAAATGTAATTTATAAATTTAGCATTTGTTTTATAAAAATTGGTAATAGATTACATTTAAGCCAGTTTTAAAGCAGCTGGAATTTAAAGTAAAGTCTGTGACATTTAATTGGCATTGAGCAGCAGAAATCAACCGTCAAGTATTTCGCGCAGTGCAGAGTTGCACTGACAACTGTCACTGGTTTTTGACACGGATTCCCGCTCTTTCTTTGCGGCACATCGCGAGTTAAGCAAACTGCAACCAAAAACTAAACACTCGGGGGCAACCTTTATGACCTCCGAGCCCCCTGACCCCTTAACCCTTACCCCCCGCGCTAAAGGCCCAACCGACCCCCCCAAAGCTAATGACTCATTAAATAACGCGCTGCACCAACCGAGGGGTTAAAGCGCTGCAGAAGGAGGAGTGTGTGCATATTCATGAGCTTCGTGTTAAGCTGCCATTTTGACGTCGTCTGTTGGCAGTGTTTACATAGCCAAAAAAACCGAGCAGCGAACAGTGAGTGCACACATGAGTTCGAGTGTAGGGAATATGAATATGAATCAAGTCATCAATCAGAGTGTGGCCCTGTCTCCATGTCATTCGAGTGCGTCGCTCAGCTCCCACTTGACATGCATTCGGATTCGTGCTCCCGCCGGATAACTTTTGCCTAAATAACTAAATACCTATGATCATGAATGATTGCCCGCCCAGGCGGTGTTTAGTGTTTGAGTGTTTAGTCCAGCTGCTTGGATCTGGTGTTGTATCGCAAATGAAACATCGGTATGATTACTGAACCGTATGCAAATCATTCCCCCCAGCTTCTATGGTATCTCATTAAGCTCAATAATCAGATTTTGTAACAAAAACCCATCTCGAAGTTCAAACAAAATAGTTTCAGTCAAGTTGGGTTTTCTTCAAAGTAGACGCCATCAGATAGATTTATTTCGAAACAGGAAAACCATAATTAAACGAACCGACAAGGTTGTCTGGGCCATTTCCATTTCCATAGTCTGCCACCCCCTTCCCCGCATTAATGCTGGCCAATTAATAATACGAGACATCACGCATACGCCACGTATGCCAGATTTGCATCAGGACATGGCTCTGTCTTCCTGTTTAAGCCTTTTTCTCCTCTCTACCCCCCCCATAACCCCCGTCTACCATCCACAAAAGCCGGCAGAACGGAAATCGATTAGTCATAGACATAAAACTGAAATGAATGTTTATCGCTGATAGTTTTTGGGCCGTAATTAAGAGGTTTTTTTGGTTGGGGACGGGCGGCAAGGTTAAGGTAATAACACTTTTGCATGCCAGACGATTCACTTGAATTTCGGTAGATGACTTTTCGGGTATTCTTTATACTTGAATCCCCGCTTTAAACTAGACTATAATGCTGCTCCTCTAACGTAACGTCCCATCCAAAGCACTTTGGCTGCTGATAAAAGCGAGTTAATGATTCGATGGAACGCCAAGCGCTAACGAGCAATAATCAAATCAAAAATTCTTTTTACAAATTGCTGTTAAACAGCTTTTCCCGCCGAAGTCTCATCTGAATTTTTATACAATTTTCGTGGCAGGGAAGTAAACAATTTTTTAGCTTAACCCCACAATGCAAGGGGGACTGCTCCTTGCCTCCGCAACAAACCAAACCACACACCTCTTAACTTGTTTGTTTGCGGATTTTGGCCTGCTGGCGCTCTTTTGAGTTTTCCATGCGCCCGCGCGTATCAATTATCGACTCGAATTTAGCCCTCCTTTTGGACGACTCGTCTTCCCAGCTTTCTGTACCGCATTTCCACTTCTTTTTTTTTTTTTTTTTTTTTTGTTTGGGGAGTTGTACAGCAGCGGCAAAAAGAATAGCGATTTCTACCCGTAAGTTATACTAGTATGTTTTAGATTTTCTCAATATATTGTTCTTATCTACAGGGAAATACATTTAACATTTATTTTGTAGTTTTCAGCAGATAATTGAATCAAATAATTTGTGCATGGCTATTTACTTTTCGCCGCCACTGTATGTTTGTTGCATACTTTCTGGCGGCGCTTTAAGTTCAAGTGCAAGTCAGCGGGGAAAAAGCGGAAAAAGTCTGCCATCCAAACTGATCCCATTTCAAGGAGAAAAAGAGAAGAATATAAAGCTTGGAGGGGTGGAGAATTTCCATTTGACACTCAGCGAAGAAGACAAAATACAACAATGGAGGTGAAGCTGAAGCTGAAGCCAAAGGAGCTGTGTAAATAGTGCAATCTGGGAATGCAGAGGAGAGCTACAGTCATTAGGGGATAATTTAGGGGCATTGGCAATAGTAAAAGCCGTAATTGATATAACCAATATTAATGGAAGTCAGTTTTTACTTTATATATTGGCTAAGCCAATCAAACAAATGATTTTACCCAACCTGAAGAGAACAAATTCTCTAATTTAAATATCGTTTCCACAATAAGTAATCTTAATTTTGTTCAAAAAGATTTTCCAAATGTGCCAAAAACACCCAGGATTAAAATTATGAAAATATATTCTAAACCATTAGATGTTGAAAGGCAAATAATAGGAAAAGGTGAGGCAAAAATCCCCAGTTGGGCAAAAAAAAACCCAGCCTCTTCGATTTTCACCTTTATCAAGAAAACGCAAGACGGAAAAAACATGTTTTTCGACTTGTGGATTATAATTTGTTGTTTGTGCGGGGCCGTCAAAAGGATTAGGATCACACGTCTGGCCAAATAATTGGAGCCCAACAACCTTTGGCAGGCCAAATCCTTTATGTGCCCGTCTGTTCGCCCACTATTTGAATCTTTAATGTCAATAAGCGGGAGTTGGCAAAAAAAAAAAAAACAAACAGAGGGCAGGAAAAATAATATTATTTGCCTTCGTTCGCAAATTGACTTGAGGCGCCTTTTCTTCGTTTTTCATTTTTTGTTTGTTTTTTTTTTGCCTGTCTGTCTGCCTGTCCGCAATGAAATTGTCAAATTGTTGCATGGAATTTTCTCGCCTTCGTGTCGAAAATTGCCGAAAAGAAAACTTTGGCGATTTGTGTGCAGCCCGACATTTGCTTAAGTTTTCGCCACTGCAGTTTCGCATTAACTGCCACGTTCCCGATTACAAATTGTTAACTTACTGCGCTCTATGATACAAGCCCCAGTGAAACGAATTAAATATTCAATAAAAATGTATATTTTATTCTAGTGGTTGATTTTTCACAATTATTTGTGAAAAGTTTGTGATCTAATTCTCCAAAAAACAGCATCCACCCTTTCAAGCATATTTCTTTTCTAACAAAAGTTCGATTTTGAGGCCTCAAATGGTAGAATTAGGAAAGGCAATATCATTATTTTTTAAAGCTTAATGGCAAAAGTGTAACTTCGGACCTATATCCTTATTAAACCTGTGTATACGAACAAACACTGTGAAAGACCATGTAAAATCTTCACTAATTGTTTTCCCCTGAATTGGCTTTTACTTTAAGCTGCTCTGATTACAGCACGCCATCACCCCTCAAATGTTCACTTAACTTTTCTTTACTTTTAATTAGCCTCTGCTCGCGGCACTTCTGTTTTTTACCCCAGCTCTCTCTTTGTTATCTATATCCCTCTGCGCGAATTTCCCGGCTGCTTGTAATCAAATCCGCGTTGTGTCACTTTGTGTGGGGCTAGAAAAAATTATCCAAAAATATTTGTGAAATTGCTTAAGAGTCTTGTGCTGCTGCTGCTGCTACGGCTGCTGCTACGGCTGCTACTGCTGTATGAAATATTAAGCGAAGAGTCCGGCGGAAAAAAGGGTTCAAAAGGCCAACGAGCATGCACAGGAAACTGTGGCTAACGAGAGGCGGAGGGATCCGGGGATTCCTGTCACACAACAAACACCTAACAAACTTTTGCTTTCAAGTTGAGGACGGGTGTCGGAAAAGTGGTTCCATGGGCCGGCGGAAGTCCTTGTTAAACTGCGTCCGGTTGTCATCTAATTGCAGGCTGTCAAATCCATCTGAAATCCAAATATAAATTTCTCCTCTTTTCACGTTTTTTTTTTTTTTTTCAGAATGCTCGGCCACCGAATTCAGATGCAACAATGGAGACTGCATCGATGCCAGGAGGCGTTGCGACAACATTTCGGATTGTAGCGAGGGCGAGGATGAGAGCGAGGACTGCCGTAAGTGATATTCAAAGACTAGAACACCTTTATCCTTTAGTGAACTCAGTGCTAATCAAATACCTTTAAGGGGTGTACCTAGAAGACACCCAATAACTATGGTAATTCTAGTTGAGTAAGCAGCTTATAGTATCTAAGACCTATCTAAGCGTAAAGTAGTTATACAATTGGATAAAAAGGATGACTGTTCATCTTTAATATCCGTCGGTTAGCCAAAAAGCTGTATTAACAAAGCTTATAGTATCTAAGGCGTAGAAGGCGGTCGCTCAAGATCCGTGAGTTAGCCAACAGCACTACTAACCCCGTATTTTTTCTCTCTGTTTAACCCCCACAACATGCTAACCGCTACCACTAACCCACACTACTAACAGCCGCCGCCTGCAGCGGCATGGAGTATCAGTGTCGCGACGGCACGCGCTGCATCAATATAAGTCAGCACTGCGACGGGCACTCCGATTGCAGCGACGGTGACGACGAAGAGCATTGCGACGGCAGTAAGTAATCGCCCATTAACCGCCCATCCACACTCACATCCCCTTAGGGCACATATCCCCTCAGATCTCTATATGTTTGCAGTGCGGCAATTAGCCAGCTAATCATACCGAGACATTCAGATTAGCATTAGATCATGTTTTTTCTGAAATCCTCATGCCCAAAGAGCTGGCTTCGCTGCAAACATATAGCAAGCTATCTCCCGGCCATTCTTCTTTATCATTTGAATCTCCCCTCAATGCTGCCGCGGCATAGTTGTACCCAAGTTGCGGTACACTTGCCCCAAGGGAAAGTTCACCTGCCAGGACTTGAGCTGCATATCGATTGTCCATCGCTGCGACGGCCGGGCCGATTGTCCGCACGATCGATCCGATGAGGAAGGCTGTCGTAGGTGTTGCGATACCCGATAACATAACCCCGATAATGCTCCACCTATGTCTCTGTGCTCTCTCTTTTTTTCCTGCTTCTCTAATGGGAATGCAGCCTGTCTGTACGACAAGTGGCAGTGTGACGATGGCACCTGCATAGCCAAGGAGCTGCTCTGCAATGGCAACATCGATTGTCCCGAGGACATTTCCGATGAGCGCTACTGCGAGGGTGAGTAAAAGTGGGAAGTGTTGCTCTTGGCTCTTAGCTATTCACCCTTGAGGAGTGGTAAGTTCACTCCACACCCTAGTCACTGCATCACGAAAATCACCTCGCCCAAGCAATCACAAACATTTAGTAGAACTAACGTACGCATGCTCTGTCGATCGTCGTCGCCAGGTGGCTACGATGATGGGGATTGTCGATTCGATGAGTTCCGTTGCGGAACCGGTGAGTGCATACCGATGCGTCAGGTGTGCGATAACATTTACGATTGCAACGATTATACCGACGAGTCCAACTGCGGTAAGCTCTTTGTGCTATCGAGTTTTATCGATACGATTGTTTTGTGATCCCTGTTTTCTCTGCTTTGCTTTGTCGCCTTTTCTGTGGGTCACTAAAATCGATTTATGGTGTTGGCCTATCTCTCTCTCTGTCTCTCTCTCTCTCTCTATTTCGTTGTATTACTCTCTGTCTGTCTACTGTGTGTTCCTTTCGCTGATATCGCTTGTATCGTTGTTTGTTCAAAAGAAACCTATCGTTAAATCGTTTGTGTCAATCGATATTTTATTTGATTTTGATTTTAACTCCAAACCATTTATTTTTCTTCTCCCCCACCCACCCGATAATGTGTATTGAACCCCTGGTTGTGGTTACCGAATGCCTCAAAATTAATCGATTAACCGCACGTCAACCTATTTCGGAATCAACATCACCACCAATGCCACATCGACGATCTACGCATTGGTCCAACGAATATATTATAATATAATATAAATGCATGACTTATCGAAAACTTCCCTAACCCCTAAAACCCATGGTCTGCATGTGGGTTGTCTATCGTAAATCGTGTAATGTCCCGTCCTTATCGAAATCGAAACTAACAACCGGGCAAGAGCAGCCGACGGCGAAGAGGAGGATAGTGTGGGCATACCAATTGGCCACCACCGCCCGCAGAGGCCGTCCGATCTCGACCATCAACTGCACGAAATGGACATCTACGATTACCAGGTGTATCGGCCAACTAACGTTTACGAGAAGGCCAATTCTCAGAATCCCTGTGCCCACAATCAGTTCCGTTGCACCATCTCCAATGTTTGCATTCCGCTGCATTTGCGTTGCGATGGCTACTATCACTGCAACGATATGAGCGACGAACAGGCCTGCGAGCGGTATGAGCGACCCACCACGACCCGACGGCCCTTGACCTTGGCCACGAGCCCCCGAACCACCGAGGGGCCCGGTTTGCAGATACTCAGAAACACCACCAGAACCACCGCCGGCAGCAGCAGAACCACCGAATCACCAATATGGCGATGGCCAACGAGACCACAAACCACTGCCGAGACCACTACCACTAACCCAATAACAACAGTTGGAGTAGAGAGTAGGTGTCCTTGAAAATCGAAATCGAAAAAGTGTAGCATACTTAAGTGGGCGATGGAAAACCCGGAAATAGCCAAGGGGATTTATTCCGTGCAGCAAAATAATTGGTAAAACGAGAACGCATCGGTGTCCAAGCTTAGTTTGCGATGAAAATATTTTAGTTCCGACAGCGATACCTGAAGAAAGATACAGTCTCCTAGACATAAAAAAGTATATAGTATATAAATAAGATGTGTGTGTCATTCCCTCTAGTTTGTTTTCGTTTTCCCAGCAATTTTGTTGCACTGAATACCGCTCATATGTAGAATGATATGTGGTATCGGGTAATTGGGATGGGTAAGGAAGAGTTAAGCTTAGTAAAAGTGCATGACATGTTTGAAACATTGAAACCTACTTTAGCCATAATCAACCACCTAAGCACACCGCACACACACACACAGACAATTTTTAGTTAGTTAAGCATTTACCTATGATATGCCTCATGCAGTTCATACTTGTACATACGTATACATTTCTCACTCTTCCTCTCACTCTTTTCTTTCGTTCTCGTTATGGCTTGTTTTATTATCATTGCGATTATACATTTTGCCCTGTTGTGTCACCCATCATCACCACCCCCACCACAAAAAAAAAAATGCCACCCTTATAGGCAGCTCATCATCCCAGTCATGCCTCGAAAACATTGAATTCGCGTGCCACAATCGCGATTGCATTCCGATTGAGAGCGTCTGCGATGGCATCCCCGACTGTGGACGCGAGGAGGACGAGGACTATGCTCTTTGCAACTGCAGCGGCGACAAGGTGAGACAACCACCCACCACTCGCCGCCCACGTAACCCACCACTCCTCGCATCCCCACCCACATTCCTCACCCAAAAAATATACATAGTGCTGCCTAGTTAAAATCAACTCGAAAAAACTCATGTGATCAAAGGAGTGCCTTACTTATTTTACTTAAAAATAACTTTTCAACTTAGGAGAACAATTTAATGCTCGTTTAAGCACTATGTATATATAGGAAAGCCTCCAAAATCCCTATATACAGTTATATTAGAGGTGGTTCCAACGATCCACCTCTGAGATCTGTACAAAAACACCCATCTTCATACTCTCTTCAGTACAAATGTCAACGGGGCGGCGGTTGCATTCCGAAAGTCCAGGTGTGCGATGGCAAACCTCAATGCCGCGATCGCAGCGACGAGAGCGCCTGCCGTAAGTACCATCCACCACCAGCAAGCCTTAACACTCTGGGTTCGGAAAACATCCGCCAAGTATTTGACGAATTTTCTAATTTATGGATATTTGAAGCTCTGGATATTTTCGAACCCTGCCTCTCTCCCTCTCACCATCTCTTTCCGGCTCTGTCTCTCTATTAATCTTTTGGTTAAATTCACTAGTTTAATCTTTAAGTTGCGTTTGAGTTCGAGTTCGAGGCTAACTTAGATCAGTAAGTAGCTTATTGCTAATTGGCTTAACTGCTAACTGCTAGTGCCGCGCCCACCTAAATTACTATTTTTCACAACCCCCCCTTCACCCATATCGACATTTGTTGCTAACTGTACTTTCTGTTTTGTTTATCTCTTCGGCCAAAAAATATCCCGTGTACAAATCTATCCCGTACTTTGCTACTCTGATACGTAATACTCTGCTATCCCCGCTATCAAACGACACACACATCGCCCGCCCCTGATCACTCCGATCTCCAGATCTCCATGGAAGATTGAATAAGACTCGTTTGGGGTTCGAGTGCCTGGGAAGCCAGTACCAATGTGGCGACGGAAGCTGCATCTCCGGCTACAAGCGCTGCAACGGCATCATTGATTGCGCCGATGGCGCCGACGAATATAACTGCATCTTCAACTACGTCGATCCCAATTACGGTAGCCCCTCCCATCCATCTACTCATCATCAATTTCTACCAGTAGTTGCGATCGAAATGGGCGTAATAAAGAGATATTTAACCATATCATTGGCATTTCAAATCCCATGAAAGTATACAAACATTTCGATCGCAGCTGATTGCATCCGCCTGACTCTACGAATCTATCGATCTGTCTGCGGGACCCCGTCAATATACATAACATTTATCTTTTGTCTTTCCAACTTTTCATACACCACACTCACGAAAAAAAAAATAAAACAAAACAAAAAACAGACTCCGACTCGGACAACAATCCACTGAATGAATGTGATATACTTGAGTTTGAATGTGACTACAGTCAGTGTTTGCCGATAGAGAAGAAGTGCGATGGCTATGCAGACTGTGAAGACGAGAGCGACGAGCTAGAGTGTCCGTACACAGGTAAAGACCCCCTAGAATTGGGGCTAACCTAATGGCTCCAGGTGCTACTACCACTAAGACTAAGACCAACCGTCCTAACCAACAAACCACCCACCACTCTCGATCATGCACCTCCTCACCCACATTCCCATTCGCCTCATCATTCGCAGAGCATTGTTTAGAGTCCGAGTTCGAGTGCGATGGCTACTGCCTGCCCCGAGATCAGTTGTGTAACGGCATTACCAACTGCCAAGATGGCAGCGACGAGCGCAACTGTACCTTTTGCCGAGAAGACGCCTACCTGTAAGATCATGTATCCATCAACCCACTTTAAATCCCCACACCTCATTTCTATTTAAATAGTTTTGTTGCTTTAAAAAGTTAATGAATAGGAATTGATTTAATTATATTCAAAAATTCATCATCGATATATAATATTTTGCAAGCGAAAGCCTATCGAAGAAATCGATCGTATTTATGAGATTATTTTTTTATGGTTTGAAAGTATTTTAATGAAACTAATTAGTTTTCGTATTAACAAAGTTCAAACTATATAAATCTAACCCATCCCAGTTCCTATCCACTCCATTCTACTCCTTTCATATCATAATCATTTCTCTGCTCTTCCATGTCATGGCTCTTACTCCAACACACACGACATACACAAACCACATCATCCACCATACAACTCGAACATCACCCACGCCACTATCGCTCGCTAACCGATATTTATCGTCATCGTCAATTGTCTATCGCCATTAGCTGCAACACCGGCGAGTGTGTGGCCGATAATCAGAGGTGCAACGGCATTGCCGATTGCGGCGACGGCAGCGACGAGCGTCACTGCGGTAAGAAGAACATAAAACTGAACCACCGGAACCATAGAACCACCGGACTACCAAAAATACTAGCAAATATCCCCGCCCTCTAACTTAGCCTAAGCTTCCTGCTTCGCTTTTGGGTTGCTTGATTGGGTTATAGAATTTACGATTGTCTTCGACTCTGAGTAGCAAATCCCCAGGTCCTGCAAAAATAAGATCTCGTTTTGATATTGAAATTTTTGTTCTAAATTTTTAAATTCAAGCAAGAAAAGGTTGTCCACCCAATAGACTAGCCTGCGACAACACTTGCGTCGATCGGAGATTAAAGTGTGATGGCAAACGCGATTGTTTCGATGGCCTCGACGAGATGTACTGTCCGGGTAAAATATTTCAACCAGTAATCTATGATTCTTCCGACACCACCCTCCTCTACTTTCGTCTAAAACTTGGTCCTTCCAATGCACCCTTTTACGGAAATCTATTAAAGCCCAAGCTACTTTGACTATTCATAGGTTTTCATGAACTGTTCTGAGCATTCTAGCTGAAGTTTAAAGACCACAGAACTTACTCCTTAAATCTGATTCCGATTCCGATCCGTCCTGACTCGTAGCTATTTCGTACAACCGGATTCTATTTCTCTACTTACTTTCTTGACAACTCTATGTTTTATGCTCTATCTTGCCTCAAAGCCAGCTTTTGTTCATTGTTTGTATTGTCTTGTCGTTCCATCTTTTTGCTAACCTAAACACCAAAACACCAACATCACCGCCAAACGACATCCACTCCATAAACACCACTCAACACTGAACACCACAGAGACCAACAACCACTTCCCCATACCGAATGTGAATGTTGTTGTCGAACAACCGAGTCCTAGACCCAGACCACAATCCTGCCAACCAAACGAGTGGCAATGCGCGAACCTCGAGTGCATCGAACTCAGTTCGAGGTGCAATAATTATAACGATTGCTCGGATGGATCCGATGAGGAGCTCAGCGTTTGCTTCGGCACGGGTAATCGAGTCAAGTCTTCCAATCACACTCTCTATTTCTTCATAAAGCACATGTGTAGAATGTTATGATGTTATTTTGGAGGTTTACTTGATCTTTTTTTAAAAAGTGTTAAACGAATAGAATATCATAATCGCACATTCATGCAAAACATTCATTTTAAGATCAAGTGGACCCCACTTAGTAGGCTTTTTATCACCCTAGTATTTTAGTTTCTTAAGAGTCTCCCATGGGAAGCAGGTTTGTACATGATGTAGACCTAAGAGCCATACAACTATGACATAACCATAACCATCCCGCTTTCTTATGTCTTTCTTGCTGCGCCATCCTTAAATCCATAAATCCATACACAATGCACCCTGCATGATGTTACGCCATACGATGCCATATAACCAAATAGCCACCACTCGACTCAAGTCCAGTGACTGCAGTCCGGATCAGTTCTTCTGCGACGATTCGTGCTACAATCGCTCGGTGAGATGCAATGGGCACAAGGACTGCTCCGATGGCAGTGACGAGGTGGGCTGCTCCATCAAATCACTGCCATGTCCACAGCACCAGTGCCCCAGTGGAAGGTGTTACTCGGAGAGTGAGCGATGCGATCGCCACAAGCACTGCGAGGATGGCTCCGATGAGACCAACTGTAAGTCGTCGTCCCAACTATTCATTATCCATCACCATCACGAAATCCCATCACGAATCTCCCCGGTTGGCCAAAAACTCCGTGATCGGAAATTTCAAGTGGGTTCAGATCTGTGGATCTGTGGATCTTAAATACATAATCTAGTTTTTATTGGGATCAGGGATCACGTATTAGTGATTCACCTTTTTATATATTCCAACTTCGAAATGCTATTGAGATGAATTTTCTTTTTGAGCACCAATATTTGTATCTGTCAGCACAGCGCTTCCTTTTCAACTAATCTAATCGAGCGGCAACAGTGTCAGTAAATATGAATATCGTGTTATTTGCACTTTTAACAATGTTTCTTAAATTATATTAAATATCATTTTGATATTCAATATTTTAATACTCAAATATTGTGAATATTTTCTGCAAACATTAATTGTTAATTTTCAACACGCTTTATAAACTAAATTAAATTTAAAACATCGTAATTTTAATACTTGGACATGTAATTTCAATACAAAAATTAGAATTAACTGAAAGTACAAATTATCAACAGTCCTCTTATAACTTACAGAATTTCTTTAAGAATTATGATGAAATATATTGGAAAAGCGTCCACCTACTGCATTCCCACATTTTACTGCATCCCATATGAATATTGTATGTAATTTTTCGTTTGCTAATCGCTCTCCCTCTATTCTCAACTCTATTCTCACTCCGTTTCTCTTTCTATCACGCTTTCTCCACTATTGAACTGCTTTTGAACGTGTGACTATTCATTTCTTCATGTTGTGCGTGTTATACTATATATTTCACTCGAATTGGGCTGCACTACCAACCAATATCACACAAAATCCTTCCACACTCCATACTCCACCCGAATATCGTATACAGGTACCGCCATCCTGTGCAAGGATAACGAGTTCCTCTGCTTCGATCGCCAGTTTTGCATAAATGCGACGCAGCATTGTGATGGCTTCTACGACTGCCGAGATTTTTCCGACGAGCAGAACTGCATTGGTTAATAACACTGGAATAGATTTGATTTAATTTAAATTTTTTACCAATAGTTACTTTAGACCTAGCTCTATTCCTTTTTCTAATATTTTTTTTGAGTAGTTGTAAAGCTTTTAGAATCAGTTTTTACAAACATCAAACAAGATCTGTGTTTTAATTTCCGATAATCGGTATAAAATGATAAATTTAATTTATGTTATGACTGTTTACCGTAAACTGTTTTTATTATTATTTTTATGTTTTTATAAGTCTAGTTTAAGTATGCCTGCATGCTTCAAACCTCTTATGCACAGTTTTTGGAAACTTTTATTTTAAATTATAGAACTTTGAAACCAAAATTGTTTTGAGACTTTCAGCAATTCAGCGGAGTTAAACAACCTTTCTTGGCGTTCCGTACTTGATCTTTATCTTTGCATTAACCTACAGGCTGTTCCCCGAGTCAATTCCGTTGCAATAATGGCGAGTGTGTTTCCGGATTGGCTCCCTGCGACGGACATCCCCAGTGCAGCGACTATTCCGATGAACTCAACTGTGGCGGAGCCCACGAGTGTCTGCCAAATCAGTTCCGCTGCAACAATGGTCAGTGTATAAGCTCTGCGGCGCGTTGCAACGGACGAACTGATTGCCATGACAGTTCCGATGAACAGAATTGTGGTAAGTAACAGAACTAGAAACTAGAACCCGGACTCCTAGTCTTAGAAAGCATCGTTATCATCGCTCGCAAACTGCATCTCTGCTATAAAAACCATAAGGTCCTCATCAAGTTGAGGCCGGCAGTCAAGAAACCACTGCGAGCCCCACCACTTCCACTAGCACCACTGTCATGACGCCATTGCGGGTCATCTGCCCACCCACCTCGTTCAAGTGCGACAACGGACTCTGTATTTCGCTGGGCCTGCGATGCAATGGCCGGATCGATTGCCCATATGACAGCAGCGATGAGGCGGACTGTAATCAGATCAGCAACGAGATCGATCGTAAGTGGGCAACCCACTCAACCACCGAGACGCCAAAGAGAGGAGATAATCAATAATAGTCCGACTTACCCAATACCCAACAGAAGCTACTAACTGCTATTAAGGGCTTGGGCTAACACGCATCTTTTAATTCACATCTATCTTTCTATACCCCAACCATCCATTCAACCATCCGCCACCCCAAAGATTTATCATTCTTTACTCTGCGTTAACTTGACTTTTCTTTAATCTTTCGAAAAACAGGTGTTCAGTCGAACAGCCCTGAACGTGGATCGACCCAATTGAATCTCAAGACTTATCCCGACAGTCAGATTATCAAGGAGAGTAAGTATGCCAGGGCAACCGTCCCTATATCTAAAAATATACAAAAAGTTTAGATCAATATTTTACCTGTTAAATAATCAAAATCAATTGTTGATATTTGAAAATATTTTTGGACAACCCTAATTGCCGTTCTTTGTTCTCGTTAATGCTTAACCCAACCCAATTCCATACAAATATTAAATATTAAACCGCAGGATATATTAGGGAGGGTAAGTTGGCCTAACTGCAATAAACCTTATGCATTCGTAGTATGGAACCCAGCACAACCAGCACCTCGAATTGCACGAACCACAGCAATGATATATACTCTATATTTATTGGCTAGAGCAGTGGAGTTGTACATTAAGTCGAAATTTTGTCAGTCACCGAAACCCTAGAGAACCCCGCTGTACAGCATTGATTATATTACTTAAATTTATGTTTCTGAATAGCGCGTTGGAAATCGTATATGCAACTTAAAAAAAACAAGTATTTCGTAGAACTATTGAAGTTATTTCCGTTGCTAAAAGTTTTATCAAACGAATTGGAAACTGATAATTATGTAAATTCAATCATTCCAACATATACTTTTAATACCACCCTGATTTCGTTAGCTAATGGCATTAAGCCACCCATGAAACCTTCCGTTGCTCGTCTGGTGTTAACCGCTTTGACCGCAAATATTAACTGACTCTCGTTCCACAGGTCGCGAGGTCATCTTCCGCTGCCGTGACGAAGGTCCCGCCCGCGCCAAGGTCAAGTGGTCTCGTCCCGGCGGACAACCTCTGCCCCCCGGCTTCAGCGACCGCAATGGCCGTCTGGAGATTCCTAACATTCGGGTAAGTTTCCCTTTTAACTCAACTCACACCCCTTGCTTAAATCCATTTATGCGTTTATTCAACAGATTGAGGATGCTGGCACTTATGTCTGCGAGGCTGTCGGTTATGCCAACTACATTCCTGGCCAACAGGTCACCGTAAACCTCAACGTCGAGCGCTGTGAGTATGAGTCTAGAATCCTAAGCTTGGTTTTTCTAAGGGGCAAGATCTTTCCACAATTCAAACAAGCAGCTTGGGGCGAAAATAAGTACGAGGAACTGCGCTCAAACCGTATAAGATACGGCACGGTGCCACACATCGACCTCGAGTTCTTTGGACTAGGTAGGGTTTAAATGGGGCATCTCCAGTTGGGTGCGGGTTTGGGAAGCTACCTCCATTTTTAGAGAGGTTTTAAAGAGGTTTCACGAACCAATTCATTGTGAATAGCGGTAGCTTCCTGAACAGAACCCAACTTTAGATGGTATATGGCTAGAACTTTTTAATAATCTCGTTTCCCCCTTTGCCGCATGGCTTTCTTGGTAAGGAGCTGGTTACCACCAAGGATTTTCGAGACCATCAATAACATCCTCCCTAACTATCCTCTCCTCAGATCACGACGTGGCTGCCCGTCCCGAATCAGCCTGCTCGGAATACCAGGCGACCTGCATGAACGGCGAGTGCATTGACAAGTCGGCCATTTGCGACGGCTCCCCGGATTGTTCCGATGGATCCGATGAGCAGAGCTGCAGCTTGGGTCTGAAGTGCCAGCCCAACCAGTTCATGTGCGCCAACTCCAAGTGCGTGGACCGCACCTGGCGATGTGACGGCGAGAACGACTGCGGCGACAACTCCGACGAGACCTCCTGTGATCCGGAACCGAGTGGCGCGCCCTGCCGATACAATGAGTTCCAGTGCCGCAGCGGCCATTGCATTCCCAAGAGCTTCCAGTGCGACGATGTGCCTGATTGTACGGACGGAACCGATGAAGTTGGATGCAGTAAGTATCGCAAAACCACCAGAGTTCAAATCACTTTGCTAACCCCTTGACGATTATTATTTCGGACACTTGCTAATATACCTTTGTCATCTGTTTCGCAGTGGCGCCTATTCCGATCCGTCGGCCACCGCAATCGATTGCCCTGCAGGTGCACGAAGTGCTCGAGCTGACCTGCGTGGCCACCGGAACCCCGACGCCGATGATCGTGTGGCGCTTGAACTGGGGCCATGTGCCCGAGAAGTGCGAGTCGAAGAGCTACGGCGGCACCGGCACTCTTCGCTGTCCGGACATGAAGCCAGAGGACAGTGGAGCCTACTCGTGCGAGATCATCAACACCCGCGGCACCCACTTCGTCAGCCCGGACACCATTGTCACGGTGACCCCCATCAATAGCCAGGTGTGCCATGCCGGCTTCTTCAATATGCTGGCTCGCAAGGCGGACGAGTGCGTCAAGTGCTTCTGCTTCGGGGTGGCCAACTCCTGCGACAGTGCCAATCTCTTCACGTACGCCATCCAGCCCCCCATCCTTTCGCACCGTGTTGTGAGCGTGGAACTGAGTCCCTACAGCCAGATCGTCATCAATGAGCCGACTCCCGGTCACGAACTGCTCAGGCTGCACCATGGCGTTCAGTTCAGGGCTTCGAACGTTCACTTTGGAGGTCGGGAAACGCCATACTTGGCGTTGCCGGCTGAGTATATGGGCAACCAGCTGAAGTCCTACGGCGGAAACCTGCGCTACGAGGTCAGCTACACGGGCAGTGGAAGACCCGTCAACGGACCCGACGTCATCATCACCGGAAACCGTTTCACCCTCACCCATCGCGTTCGCATTCAACCGGATCAGAACAACAGGGTGAACATTCCGTTCCTGCCGGGCGGATGGGTCAAGCCCGATGGTCGCAAGGCCTCGCGCGAGGAGATCATGATGATACTGGCAAATGTGGACAACATCCTCATTCGACTGGGCTATCTGGACAGCACGGCCCGCGAAGTGAAGCTTATCAATATCGCTTTGGACTCGGCTGGCACTGCGAACCTCGGCTTGGGCAGTGCCTCGCTCGTGGAGAAGTGCACGTGTCCGCCCGGCTATGTGGGTGACTCGTGCGAGTCCTGTGCCCCTGGCTTTGTGCGACAGCCGGCCGGTCCCTGGTTGGGTCACTGTGTGCCCTTCATCCCCGAACCTTGTCCTTCGGGAACCTACGGAGACCCGCGACGCGGTCTGCCCTGCAAGGAGTGTCCGTGCCCCCAGACGGGCAGCAACAACTTCGCCAGCGGCTGCCAACAGAACCCCGACGGCGATGTGGTCTGCAGATGCAATGAGGGCTACGCGGGCAGGCGGTGCGAGTACTGCGCAGATGGCTACCATGGCAATCCCCTGGCGCCGGGCGGTGGATGTGTCCCAATACCCGACACGTCTTGCAACGTGGATGGCACCTACTCGGTGCACAAGAATGGAACCTGCCAGTGCAAGAACAGCGTCATTGGCGAAAAATGCGACACGTGTGCGGCAAAGAGTTTCCACCTCAACTCGTTCACTTACACCGGCTGCATTGAGTGTTTCTGCAGCGGATTAAATGTGGACTGTGATAGTAGTACGTGGTATCGCAACCAGGTCACCAGCACCTTTGGACGTTCACGCGTTGATCATGGCTTCGCTTTGGTTAATGGCTACTATGATGCCACCCCGCAGACCATATCCGTATCGATGGAAAAAGTGCCCAATACGTTGAGCTTCACAGGATCAGCGGACCATGCGGGAGACACGCTCTACTGGAGCTTGCCACCCGCTTTCCTTGGCAACAAACTGACCTCGTACGGAGGAAAACTGACCTACACTCTGAGCTACAGCCCCCTGCCGGGTGGCATAATGTCGCGGAACAGCGCACCGGATGTGGTGATCAAGAGTGGCGAAGATGTGAAGCTCATCCACTACAGGAAGTCGCACGTTAACCCCAGCGTACCCAATACCTATTCGGTGGAGATCAACGAGAACGCCTGGCAGCGCGAGGACTCAAACATTGTCAACCGTGAGCACGTTCTGATGGCCCTCAGCGATGTTACGGCCATCTACATTAAGGCCACTTACACCACCAGCACCAAGGAGGCCAGTCTGCGCCAGGTGACTTTGGATACGGCCATTGACTCGAATCTGGGCACTGCACGCGCCGTCGAGGTGGAGCAGTGCCGCTGCTCCGAGGGTTACTTGGGACTCTCTTGCGAGCAGTGTGCTCCAGGCTACTACCGCGATCCAGAGAGTGGAATCTACCTGGGATTCTGTCTGCCCTGCGAATGCAATGGACACTCGAATCAGTGCAATAGCGAAACCGGCGAGTGCCTGGTGAGTATCCGGCTCGAAAGACCACGGTCCTTGGAACCACCCTTAACTCCCTTTTCTTTTTGAACTTTCAGAGCTGTGATGACAACACCGACGGACCCAATTGTGAGGTATGCGCCCCTGGCTACACGGGAGATGCCACCCGCGGAAGTCCGTACGACTGCCTACCTTCCAACCAGCCGCCGCGTCCGCCACCACCGGGCAATCAGACTGCAGAGTGCAGCGTCTACTGCTACCCGGAGGGAACTATCAACTGCCGCGACGACTATTGCGAGTGCAAGACGAATGTTGTTGGCGACCGATGCGATCAGTGCCGCGACGGAACCTACGGACTGTCCGGTCAGAATGCGGCCGGCTGCAAGGAGTGCTATTGCTCCGGATTGTCGAGCCAGTGCCATTCGGCGGCTCTCTACCGCCAGCTCATTCCCGTGGACTTCATTTCCAACCCTCCACTGATCACAAACGAAAACGGAGACATTGAGACCACGGAGGACCTGGTTAACGACATCCCCAGAAACATGTTCACCTACACGCACACCACCTACCTGCCGAAATACTGGAGTCTGAGGGGCAGCGTGCTGGGCAACCAGCTGCTCTCGTACGGCGGCCTTCTGCAGTACACCCTTGTGGTCGAGTCGTACGGCAGCTATCAACCCGGTCAGGATGTGGTGCTGATTGGCAACGGGCTGAAGCTCATCTGGTCTCGACCCGACGGACGTGACGATCTGGAGGAGTATAGCGTGCGACTCCACGAAGACGAACACTGGCAGAGAATAGATCGCGGATCATCGCGACAGGCCAGCCGGTCTGACTTCATGACTGTCCTGACGGATCTCCAGCACATCCTTATCCGAGCCACGCCCTCGGTGCCCACGCAGAAGACGTCGATCGGCAACGTGATCCTGGAGAGTGCGGTGACCGTAAGGACGCCCGGAGCTACGCATGCCGTCGATCTCGAGGTGTGCCAGTGCCCAGCCGGCTACACGGGCAACTCCTGCGAGACCTGCGCCCCACTCTACTACCGCAATGCCAGCGGCTCCTTGCAGCCAGTGCCCATGCGAGGCATCCAACACCGAATCATGCGGTCTGGTCAGCGGCGGCTATGTCCAGTGTCGGTGCAAGCCGCGCTGGAAGGGAGATCGCTGTCGCGAAATTGGTAAGTTTTTAACTCGAGGTAGAGAACTCTAAAATCTCCCCGTCCTACTAGGCATTTGCCCATCCATCGTTCTTCCCACTCTCAATCACTGACCTTCAAGCCTTGCTTATGCATACCGAACTACATGGAATACTCTCCAGATAACGTACTCGTACTTTAAGCAATCTCCCAGGTCCAAGTTCGAGTTCCAGGGAACATTGTATTCGTGTAGATGTATGTAACAGGCAGAAGGAAGTCTCTCCTATCCCCTAGTCTATATGAGCTTTAACTACCCGCTCAGATTTATGAAATTTGCTTTCCAACTGCATCTCCATTAAGATTAACATTTTAAAGTTGAAAAAAAAGGTGAACCTTTTCGATGTAATATCAAATGCATAATCTGAGCTGCGGGTATCAAAGGATCGGAACATCCGATTAGCAAGTTCTTACCTTTTTTATTTACTTTCTCCTTTCTTTCGGATTTTGTTTTTGTCATTCCTTCTCCTCCACAACCATTAACTCTTAAACCGATTTCAATTCGACAATGAAATTACAAACCAAAAACAAAAAAAAAAACCAAAACCAAAATTTATAAATTGCAATCACCACAACCAACAAACATCCCATCCATCCACATTCTAGACACATCGCCCATTATCGAAGAACCGCCCCAGATATGTGATTTAAGCAGGGGATTCTGTTGCAGCGGCTTTCAATTCGATATCGCACCGAACGAGACAATATCGTTCAATGACACCCTGCAGATATATAAGGGCAACAGAATCATAGGAAATATGACAAAGCTGCGCTACGGCTGTCCATCGCGAGGTTCGCTCCAGACTCTCCGATCCACCGAACTGAAACCACTCTGCCGTCTGCAGAATGCCACCCACCACTGTTGCTTCCCTTTTACTCGTACCTCTATCTCTCACACCAGCACACCTAAAACTCCACTCCACACTCCACTCTATATAGTATCATTTCAGCCTAGATCTATGTAAAAATATATATGTGTGTGTAGAGCGAACCTAACTCGTATACAAGTATTTGTGAGCTAAACCCCGAGTAGACCAAGCTGGGAAACTTCCCAGACTCTTGTAAATGGGTTAGATCCTTCATTATCCCTGACTCTCCTTCTCTGACTCTGTGTCTGATATTTCGGTCATCTTAAAACCACTTAGCTAGTCTATGTGTCTTAGTAATTGTCTTACCTCAAAGTAGTCTTTGTTCTCTGTGTACAGACGTCGAACTCTACTGACTCAGATCCTCCGAATCCTCTTCGTTCAGCCCATCGATAACTCTCTTGATCCTCTGTCTTTGTGTGTATTATATAGTTTTTGTATACTAGTTGCAGTCTATAATGTCGGCGGTCTTAAAGCCAACGAAAATTGGCCCAGAAACACGCTCAAGTAGTTCATGAAATTACCATAGATACTCATAGCCACTAATCCCGGTTAGAATCTGTATTCGCAAGTGTATAGTGCGCTTCATAACTTTGGGCCACCAAACGTGGCAGGAAGAACCAATTTAAATTTTGACTAACAAGTAACTTTCACGTTTAAATTCGCTTTTAAGTAAACTGACCCAAGTGACTGAAAACTATCAATAACAAGATCAAAACATTTCATGCTATGAAGTAAAGTTACTTAAACTAAAATACGAAAAATTTAAAAATAGATGATAAATCGACTTTTAACAACTGAACCTATTTTTTAAGTTTTCTGTTTTAGTAATATAGTTTTTTTTAGAAACGCAGACTAACCCCTTTAATGTACTTAAAAAGTTCTGGAACGCACTATCTCCGTGTTTGTTTCCCAATCTGTCGCCTAACCCTCGGAGTTGTAGGGCATCCAACGTGATCCCGGTTTCGGGATGGAAAATCCGAAACACTACACCCCAAATATGTATCCCCTGACTTCGTGACCTCAATTAGGAGTCATTAAACCGCAACCACCTGTCACTAACAATCTTTGAAGGCCTTTTTCGAAGAGCTTAGTTCTCATCTGAAGCATTTTTCTGTTACAATTTTAATGACAAAAGGTGGGAGTGTTTATGTGTATCCCCCTGTTTACCTATTCCCTTGATTTAAATCGAAAAGTCAGATGAGAACTCGGCTTACGTACAAAGGATTTTCTCACATCGTAAGGAAGTCATATTGTGGGAACTTCCGGGAGTGTAAATGCATTTGTCTAATCGATGTTCCCCGCTACCGTAGAAACTTACGAACCAATCATCCCAACTACCGAGGACCCAGTGCGCACCCAAATCATCGTGTCGATCGAAAAGCCGGAGATCACAATTGTGCCCGTGGGCGGATCACTGACCCTCAGCTGTAGCGGTCGAATGCGCTGGAGCGATGTGAGTCGCAGAATCCCATTTACCGACTTACCAACTCAACTACAACTTTACCTTCTCGATTTCCATTTGCCCAGGCCCCAGTCATCGTTAACTGGTACAAGGAGAACAGTCAGCTGCCCGACAACAATCAAATTCAAGGCGGCGAACTGCACCTGTACAACCTGCAGATCAGCGACTCCGGTGTCTACACTTGCCAGGCCGTCAACAACGAGACCGCTCGCGTCTTCAAGGACCATGTCTCGATCACCATATCACGTGAGTATTAGTTTTCTAACCCTTAACATACCAATAAGTAATCATAATCACGACCTTTTAAATGCCGCATATATCAAAGGATATGCCAAGGAAATGCTGGCACGATACGGTACTTAAAGTATATGATTTTATGTTAACAAGAGCCCACTGTAGGCACCTTAAATGTTTCCAAGGTGTAGAAATTATTGTTGTACTATTCTTTTTGATATTTATTTTATTTAAACACATTTTGAATTTTCTACTTTTTTTGAACCCCAAACACCACCTATAGAGGATGGCCAGCGCTCTCCGGCTCAGATAGTCAATTTGCCGAACCACGTGACCTTCGAGGAGTACCAGCCCAATGAGATTGTTTGCGAGGTGGTCGGCAACCCACCGCCCACCGTCACCTGGACTCGGGTGGACGGCCAGGCGGATGCCCAGAGTACACGAACCTACAACAACCGCATCATCTTTGATTCGCCGAGGAAGTCGGATGAGGGCCGCTACCGCTGCCAGGCAGAGAATGGTCTGAATCGGGACGAGAGCCATGTGGTCGTCTATGTCCAGAGTAGCCACCCCACGCCGCCGCCTCCGCGGGATCGTTTGTACATCCAGCCGGAGGAGGTTAACGCCTACGAAGGCGACAACTTCCGTCTATCCTGCCAGTTCACAAGTGTTGCCTCTCTGCGCTACGATTGGACCCGCAACGGTTACCCACTGTCGTCGACCGCCTCCCGCAACGTCTATGTCATTGACAATTCCGTGGAGGTGCAGGACGCCAGTGCCCGCGACTCCGGAACATACACCTGTGTGGCCTACGATCCCCGCACCCATCGCAACTACACCGAGAACGCCCGTGTCTACATCGAAAGGCGCGAACCATCAAACGGGTGAGTTGAAATATCAACGTGTTCTTCCAACCACATGGAATGTATTCAGAAAGCACAGCAGCAATCATACTGATTGAGAACTATATACGATACCTTACAGTTTCATAAACCGCGACCCTCTCTTCTTCCACAGCGCCAAGCCGCAGATCGTGCCGCTGGAGGAGCAGATCAACATTGACCAGGGCCAGGACTACAGCATCACCTGCGAGGCCAGTGGAACTCCGCATCCCTCGATCAAGTGGGCCAAGGTGCACGACCAACTGGCCGACAATGTGCGCATCAGCGGCAACGTGCTGACCATCTACAGCGCCCGGCAAGAGAACCGCGGCGCCTACTCCTGCTTCGCCCAGAACTCCCACGGATCGGACCAGTCCAGCACGAATATCGATATTGAGCGTAAGTGATCAGGGATCCGGGATACTCTATATACCTCTAAGTATCAGCTACTGTTTCTGATAGTCAAGCTTGTATAGATCGAAATAAGCCAAGAACTCTTTGATTTTCTACGGAGCAGGGGTTCTCTTATATATATTTTGATCCTTTAAGTTCCCAATGAATTTCTATTCTTCGCCCGAAAATGAACTCAGGCTAACTATGCCCTTTGCTCTGTCTCGTCTTGTTGTTTCTCTTCCCTCACAAACACTAATTATCCGCCCGAATATTATTTATATCATTTAAATTTGCAAATCAAACCCCAACCCCTTTGATCTAACTTAAACACAAAACTTTGCCATGCAAGTGCATAAAAGTGGAGTTGGTAATAAGACAGGTCCGCACAGTCTGATCCTAATACTAATTGGTGCCACCACTGTCGTTTACTTGTTTGCAGCCCGGGAGCGGCCGAGCGTTAAGATCGAACCGCCGCTCCAGCAAACAGTTGTGGTGGGCGCTCAGGGATCCCTGTACTGCACCGCTCAGGGCATTCCCGAACCGAGCGTGGAGTGGGTTCGAGTGGACGGCCAACCGCTGTCGCCGCGTCACAAGATCGATTACCCCGGCTACCTCCTGTAAGTATTCAGTATTCAGTATTCAATTAACATCAACTGCTTCTTTGCAGCAACCTAATATACATAGATACATGAATGTACATACATAGATTCTGTTGAACTAATCTTCCTTGGTTTTTATCACTACCCACAGGATCGATGATATTGTGGTTGCCGACGCCGGCGATTACGAGTGTCGAGCAAAGAACATGTTGGGCGAGGCCAGTGCCGTGGCCTCCATTTCCGTTCAGGAGCCAACCATTGTGCAGGTGATGCCCAACAAGAACACGATTAGCCTCACGGAGGGCGACGAACTCTCGCTGGAATGCGTCGGCAGTGGAGTCCCCACTCCGTCCGTCGAATGGAGCCAACCCAATGAGCGTTCGGGATATCGGCCATCGGCATTCGGCGATTCGGGAATAAGCAACACGGCCGTGGTGAAGATCTACCGCGTCACCCAGGCGGATGCGGGTATCTACACCTGCTCTGGCTACAATGAGGCTGGAAATGATGTGTTCCACGTGCGCGTGGACGTGCAGCCCAAGAGGGGTGACATCGGAGCAGGTGAGTCAACAGTTGAAACGAACCAAGAAACTGGGTTTCAAGGTTCGGGGTTTAATACGCATGTTTAAGGAAATTTTATAGTTCGTCAATCATATGTCAACTCATCCCAGACTAAGTTCGAAAGCTCCTTTTTAACTCCGTTTACATTTACAATCAAGATTCCGACGTGGAAACCGATCCCAGGCTGCCCTACTCCCCCACGCAGCGACCCTATAGCCCGCCATCCGGCAACAATGAGCGCCTGTCCACCGAGTTTGGCGCCAACGTGACCCTGACCTGCGAGATCAACCACCACTTGACCGCTCAGTGGCAGCGCGTGGATGGAGCGCCCTTGCCGCCAAACGCCTACATCAGGAGGAACAGTCTGGTGATTGTGTACGTGGAGGAGCAGAACCTGGGTCAGTACCGCTGCAATGGACTCGATCGCGACGGCAATGTGGCCGCTTATGTGATTAGGGAGCTTGTCCAATTGCCCCTGCCGAGGATCACCTTCTATCCCAGCATTCCCCTGAAGACGAAGGCCGGCCAGAACTATGATCTCGACTGTCAGGTGGAGAACGTCCGTCCCGAGGATGTGCATTGGACCACCGATAATAACCGACCACTGCCCAGGTGAGAACACTACCTATATATACATTTATACTACACATACTATACATTGAAGATGGAATCATCACCTAAATCTACCAATACCCATTTTTTCACCTCCACCAGCTCGGTTCACATCGAGGGCTCTCTCCTTCGCTTCGAGTCCATCACCCCGGCGGCTGCCGGTGGATACCGATGCTCCGCCTCCAACGCGTATGGAAACCGATCCGAGACCGCAATGGTGTTGGTGACCACCGGGCCATACCAGCCAGTTCCGCAGTCCCAGGTGCAGAGGCACCGCGAGGGCGAGAGCATTCAGCTGAAGTGTAGTTTGACCACCCAATACGGCGGCGAGGTGCAAGGCGATATCCAGGTGAGATCTTAGAAAAGTTTCAATCCATATAGAATCCTTTTGAGCTCCGAAACTAAAGGTACACATTGTTTAAAGCCTATATACGTTATCTTATAGTACAATAGCACTAAACAAGATTGCTTTGATTCGTAATCGATTATTAATCGATTATAATTGGCGATATCCGTTTCAGTTCGATTGGTACCGTGAGGATGGCACCGCTCTGCCGAACAACGCCCGCTCAAACAGTCCGGTGCTGGTGCTGACCAAATTGCGACCGGAAGACGAGGGCCGCTACATTTGCAAATCGTACGATCTGGTCAGAAGGCAGTACCTGGTTCCAGTCTCCATCGATTTGCAAGTACTAAGTGAGTAATCGCAACGCGTTCGGTTTTCTGGGCTTTCCGGATCTCCGACTCCGCAGTCAAAAGGTGTCTTGCCCGGCAAGAAAAGCCCAGCTCCTCCTATCTCTCCCCTGAAAAAAAGTACTTCCCATTTTCAACAAAACGAATGACCCATTCTACAATGAGTTCACTCCGAAAGAAAGAAATTTGAACAAATCCTTTGTTAGGCCAGCACGAAAATGAAACGAAATAAGTAAGAAATGACAAAAAAAAAAGAAAAGAAAAGAGTAACTTTCTTAAAAATAAGAGAAGAAGAATTTTCAAGGATTAGGCTTTGTTTAAGCAGGTTTGATTGTTCGCTGATTTTACTAATTCCCCACCCTATATATATATATATATATATACAAAGACGCCTATATATAAACACATCAATGTTAACCTAAACTTAAAAGCCAAACCACGAAATCGAAAGCAGAACAAATCCTGTATATACGCAAGCAGAAACTGTCAGTCCCTACCTAAACACCTAAAACAACATCTATGTCTAGCACTATAAGAAGCGGTTTTAGGGTCCTACAAATACACACTCTGTATATAACAAATGATCAAGCAAACAAATATCGAAATCATTGTCAAAACTGGTGACGGAGCCACAATCTAAAAACGAGACAATTGTCATACATGTTTAATACAAGTCCATTGCATGCAAAGTCCAAATCCGAGAATTTCCCAAATTTCTTATTCCATTTTTTTTTACTTTTAAAATTGAAACTCTAGAAATTTAAGCTCTGAACAAAAACAAAAACGAAATTTACCCCCAAAGACCACCATCGCACACTTTTATATATATTTACCAAACATACCTAAAACTTGATAAATCTTAAGCTTACCAAAATGGCTGCCAAAAACATTTTTAATACGATACATTTAAGTAAACCCCACTAAAAGTGAAAATAAAACCTTATATTAACATTAAAACTGGCACAGCAAAATGTGTAAAGCAAATTGTAACATATTCTTTTTATTTATTTCCCCAATACCTTGCAGATGCCAAATGTTAGGGATATATATTTTAAATTGTCTGTCCGAAGTGTTACAACAAGTACAGGTTATTTTTATACGTAGTAATATTGGATTTTAACACATTTACATTGCCTTTTATATAATTGGGATATTTTAACTGTACTGCTTATCTTAAAAGTATACTAAAAATTCAAATAAATTAACTACACGTTTCAAGAAACAAATATACATAAAGCTCTGCAAGATTATTCTGAGCTTCGGTTGACCGATTCTGGCCCTTCTTTGTTGCGTTCCTATTAACATTAATGCATTATTTTGGTGTCGGCTCCACTTTTCCTACCCCAACTGCCCCCGGTGTTTGTTTGTTTCAGTCCAATTAGGTATTTGCTAATTTGAATTGTCTTTTTCCCAATGGGTTTTGGTTATCAACTGTTTGTTTGTGTTTTTGTGTATTAATAAGTGTCAACCAATGACAAAGTTAATTATTTAAAATATAAGCACTGCACAAAATCTACCATTGTGTTCACCACTTAATTCTTGACTTTCGAAATCATCACCGAATTCGCACCGAAATTTGCACACTGAAAACAAATACTCGTACGAATGTAACCAGCACAAATTCAGTATTGTAAATAATACCACAACTTTTGCCTTGACTCAGATAAAATCAGTCAAACAGTCAGATACAGAAGAATCAGTTTGAAGAAGAATCCTTAACAGATTTATGTAGGTTTTAGTTCCACCTACTTTTTTATGCAAATGGAACACATTAATTAATTTCATATTTATTTCTTTCTCTCTCACGCTTTTCTTCTCTCTCTCCCACTTTTTTACATGTGCGCTTGTTGAAATATTTTTAAATTACCCTTTGACTTGAATTGACATAAACTGTTTATCTATATATAATACATGGTACACTGTGTGCGCTTTTTGGCGGAACCTCTGTTAACAAAAAACAACACACAAAAAAACACAAACAAATTAAATGATATGGCATGCAACCGCGATCAATCAATCAATCGATCAATCAATCAATCGAACGACGCGACTACGACCACGCAGGAAAAACCACCCAGTATCCTTACAATCGGTTCAAGGGCGGCGTCTCCCTGAAAGACACGCCCTGCATGGTTTTGTATATTTGTGCAGGTGTGTTTCAGCCACCGCCGCCTAACCAAATCTAATCGCAGCGATCCTCCATTATATGATATCAATATTGTTTGTATTTTCTTTTCATTCTTTTATTTTGGTTTATAATTTTTTTTTTTCGTTTGATTTGCATTTGTTTTGTATTATTAATATAATGATCTTTAAATCTGTATTATGTACTGCCTAACCCTAGCAATAGAAGTTTTATAAAAAAAAAAAAAAAAACAATCAAAAATAATACAACAAACCTGTAAAAAGTTGCTTTAATGAAACCCGCCAACCCGCCACGTCCACTAATGCACAAAGTCCCTCGATGGATCATCAACTATATACTAGAGCACCAATATATCCCCTCCAGCATGTACGGACTCCCAATAATCAGTAGCATTACCCACACTAAAGGGCAGGTTACGTTCATTAGGTCCCCCGGGTTTTCAGTTGTACGTATGTAAAGCGTTAGGAACTGCTACTAACCAAGGGCTTTAGTGCTGTGGAATCTGTCAATTATTGCTAATATTTAATTCCGCAAAAAAAAAAAAAAAAAAAAAAAAAAAACGAAACTACCGAAATACTGAACTTACCGAAAATACTGAAAATTAAAAATAAATAAAAACACGTCGCAGACTTCAAGAGCAGCAAACTGTCACCATCAAAGCCCCTGAATTCTGGACCCACCACAGTCCGACCATCGGCGAACCCGTACGCCTGCCAACCCAGCGATTTCAAGTGTGTCTCCCATCCACACACCTGTATCAAGGCCAACATGGTGTGCGATGGCATTTACGACTGTACGGATCACTCGGACGAGTTCAACTGCATCGCTGGCGGCAAGGGAAGCGGAAAGTCGGAATCCGGCTCGGGATCTGGAACCTTTAAGCGCTGGAAGAAGCATCAAAAGCCAGGAGGGAGAGTACCAACCATCAAGGATCGAAAGCTGAGGAGGCGCAGCTTTGGTTGGTCCAAAAGTTTTCTCTTTACCACCACCGCAAAAGCTTTCATTCACTCTCTGCCCCGGTATCGCTATTTAATACCCAACTGTACTTATTCGAATCCCAAACTCCCCTCTCCACTTTCCTAGATCCCTCTATCCTTTCCGATATCTGTTTTTCCACTATCTCTTCTATATCTCTTTGGCTGTATAAATTCGTATTGCTCGTGGGTGCACAAAATCGTAGGGTTGAAGCGATTGAAATTGGCACTCGAATGAAGGATAACCAGCGATAACCGATCAACAGCACCAAACTACATACTCAATCGAGAAGTAAAAAGGAAGAAACGGCTCACACGCACTCTGAGGGGCTAATGTAGCTTTAAATCCAACAAATAACTATAAAAACTAGCCTAGCGATTAATAAATACTCTTAGAGTTAACGGGTTGGCATTTCAACAATATTTACCCGAGGATGTATGTACTTGTCAATTTGCATGCGGCAGGCCATTGTTACTAACATTATAACTTAAACATACAAAAGTAGTGTAAATAATACGATACACTCAGATCCGACCCACAAACACATCTACATATGCGCACTCTTATCCACATGATAAACCAATAGTTATGTAATCGAAATTTTGTAAATTGTATCAATAACTGTATATATATAGACCCTTTTATGTATTTCTGTGACTCAAACGAAACCGAAATGAAACACCTGTGATTTAGCGGTAACCCAAGTTCAAATTAAATCTGTAGAATTCGGCACTCGAGATACAAATCTAAATCGAAAACTAGAATAAACCCAATCGAAAAGACCCCATTCGTAACCCCACATGTATTCGTTTTCTGTGTGATTCGATCCGTAGCAGTATTGAGTAAAAACGTAGCTCCATAAAGTAGTCAACCTCACCAATTCACCTAGACCCCTTTCTGTCGCTCTCTCTAAATGTATATCGTATATCTATGTATTGTCTAACTAGGAAACCAAATTCCAAATCAAAAACAAACTAAAACAAAACCAAGTGCGATATGAATCGAACCAAATTAATTGACAAATATAAACATAATATTAAAGTTTCGATAAACCTTTCAACGATAACCAATTGCAACTTTTTGTTCGATAATTATCGCCTTTTTTCTGTTTGAGACACAACTTTTGACCTATTATTTTGCTAACCGTTTTCTCTTTCTGTGTATTTTTTACTATCTTATTCCCATTTCCATGAATCAAACCACACACACAAATACTCCACCCACACACTACACATATCTACACACTCACACAAACATAAAAACACATGCACCCATGCACTTGTGAATTGTCGCTGAATTGTGAACGTTCCGCCGAACATCCTTGTCGTCCTTGTCGACCTGTCGCCCCCTGTCAATGTGTATCTGTGTATCTGGTGTCCCGTTTGGCTGTGGCTGTGTTGGGCGATATCAGCGGCGACCCCGCCCCCCTACAACCCCGCCTACCTGCCGCCGCCGTTGCCAACGACGCCCCCACAATCGCCGGAAAGGAATCGCGACTACAGCCTGAAACTGGACCAGCAATCGTCGAACCTGCGGGTGGGCGAGTCCACCGAGGTCGAGTGCCAGTCCTCCGACGACACCTACACGGATGTCGTGTGGGAACGGGCCGATGGAAGTCCACTCAGCGACCATGTCCGGGTGAGTACGATCTCCATTTTAACCCTCAGAAAGGTGTTCCTTAAAAAGATCCGAATTACTGTTTCTTACATTTGCATATTTGTGCTTTTAAAAGTTAAGTTATTTTTGTGAATATTCATCTGACCTTTGAACTTCTCTAACTTTTTTCTTCACTCCATTGAATCCCTGCAGCAAGTGGGCAACAGCCTGGTCTTCAGTGACGTGGAACTGATCGATGCCGGTAACTATGTATGCAAGTGCAAGACGGACGAGGGAGATCTCTACACCACCAGCTATGAACTTGAGGTGGAAGACAAGCCCCATGAACTGAAGAGCTCCAAGATAGTCTACGCCAAGGTGGGCGGTAATGCCCAGTTGCAGTGTGGAGCCGATGAATCCAGAGAGCCCACACACCGCTGGTCTCGCCAATATGGACAGCTTCAAGCGGGTCGCAGTCAACTCAATGTAAGTTTCGGGAACCTAACTTATGAACTTATATAACTATTTTAGAAAGCTAAGGCTCTTAACCTTGCTTAAGACAATATATAATTTCATTATGTTTATAACTTCTTTATAATTGCAGGAGAAGCTTTTACTGGACAACGTGCAGGCAAATGACGCCGGAACCTACATCTGTACAGCCGTATACGCCGACGGCGAGACGGCCGACTTCCCCAGTATTTTGGTCGTAACGGGGGCGATTCCCCAGTTCCGGCAGGAACCACGCAGCTACATGAGCTTCCCCACGCTTCCGAACTCCTCGTACAAGTTCAACTTTGAGCTCACATTCCGCCCGGAAAATGGCGACGGGTTGTTGCTTTTCAATGGCCAAACACGCGGAACCGGTGACTATATCGCATTGTCGCTTAAGGATCGCTACGCGGAGTTCCGCTTCGATTTTGGTGGTAAGCCATTGTTGGTGCGAGCAGAGGAACCGCTGGCACTGAATGAGTGGCACACCGTTCGGGTGAGCCGCTCCAGGAGGGACGGATACATCCAGGTGGACGAACAGCATCCGGTGGCCTTCCCCGCTCTTCAGCAGGTACGATCATAAAGCTTATTTCCTAAACGGGATTACACTTTTACACTTTTGACTTCATTTCTTGTCCCCCAAAACAGCTGCCTCAACTTGATTTGATTGAGGACCTGTACATTGGCGGAGTGCCCAACTGGGAGCTCCTGCCCGCCGAAGCGGTTAGTCAGCAGTTGGGCTTCGTCGGCTGCATCAGCCGATTGACCCTGCAGGGACGCACCGTGGAGCTGATCCGCGAGGCCAAGTTCAAGGAGGGCATCACCGACTGCCGGCCCTGCACCCAAGGCCCCTGCCAGAACGACGGCGTGTGCCTGGAAAGCCAGACGGAGCAGGCGTACACCTGCATCTGCCAGCCGGGATGGACGGGACGCGATTGTGCCATCCAAGGTAACCAGTGCACGGCAGGAGTGTGCGGCGCCGGAAGGTGTGAGAATACGGAGAGTGACATGGAGTGCCTGTGTCCGCTGAACCGAACTGGCGACCGATGCCAGTACATCGAGCATTTGAGCGAACACAGCCTGAACTTCAAGGAGAACAGCTTCGCCGCTTACCAGTGAGTTACCAGTAAACACACACAAAAAAGGACTTAAATAATTATTTTACCGATTTCCGCTCCCCGTAGAACTCCGAAACTGACCAAAGTGAACATCACGCTCTCCTTGCGTCCCACGAGTTTGCAGGACTCAGTGATTCTGTACACAGCGGAATCCAGTTTGCCCAGCGGCGATTATTTGGCTCTGGTACTCCGTGGTGGGCACGTTGAGCTGCTCATCAATACGGCCGCCCGTTTGGATCCAGTTGTGGTGCGATCTGCGGAGCCACTGCCTCTGAACCGCTGGACAAGGGTCGAGATTAGGCGGCGATTGGGCGAGGGAATCCTGCGGGTGGGCGATGGACCAGAGCGAAAGGCCAAGACGCCGGGACAAGATCGCATTTTATCCCTGAAGACGCCGCTCTTCGTGGGCGGATACGATCGTTCAACGGTCAAGATCAACCGAGATGTGAACATCACCAAGGGCTTCGATGGTTGCATATCCAGGCTCTACAGTTCCCAGAAGGCTGTGCAACTGTTGGCGGACATCAAGGATGCGGCCAACATCCAGAATTGTGGGGAAACCAATGAGATAGGAGCCGATGAAGACAACGACACTGAGCCACAAATCCCGCTCCCATCCTCAGAGGCTCATGAGGATGAGCTGCAGCCATACGTGTTCGCTCCTTGTGCCAGCGATCCCTGCGAGAACGGAGGCAGCTGCAGCGAACAGGAGGGCGAGGCCATCTGCGCCTGTCTCTTTGGCTTCAGTGGCAGATACTGCCAGGAGCGTAAGTCAACCTAAGAAACAATACCTAACAAACAAAACCCAAACCACCTATCATATTTCAGACATCCAACTGGGATTTAATGCCTCGTTCCACGGCGATGGGTACGTCGAGCTGAATCGCACCCACTTCCATCCTGAATTGGAGCAGTCGTACAGCTCCATCGGCATTGTGTTCACCACCACCAAGGCGAACGGCCTGCTGTTCTGGTGGGGCCAAGAGGCCGGAGTGGAGTACACCGGACAGGACTTCATCGCTGCCGCCGTCGTTGATGGCTATGTGGAGTACTCGATGAGGCTCGATGGCGAGGAGGCTGTCATCCGGAATAGCGATACCCGCGTGGACAACGGAGAACGACACATTGTGATCGCCAAGCGGGTGGACAACACCGCCATTCTGGAGGTCGATCGTATGCTGCACTCGGGTGAGACCCGTCCAACCAGCCAGAAGACCATGAAGCTGCCCGGCAATGTGTTCGTCGGTGAGTGCTGCTAAATAATGAGTAATATATTAAGCAAAAAGAGTCAGTTTTTATTAGTTAAAGTTAATTTTTGGTTCAAAATTTGTGTACTAAACGTTTCCCATATACTTGTGTATGCCTTTCTTGTTTACGAAGCTTTAGAAATCGATACCTATTTAAATATGTTGCTCTACATTGGCTTCTTTATATTAAGGAAAACATTTAACTGAATACCCTTTTCTTTTTTTCCAGGTGGCGTTCCCAATATTGCTTTGTTCACGGGTAACCGCTACAATTATAACTTTAATGGCTGCATTGTGGTCGTCGAAGGCGAAACCGTGGGCCAAATCAACCTTAGTTCAGCTGCCATTAATGGAGTGAATGTCAACGTGTGTCCCGCGTAAGTAGACTACACCTTTCTTAAAAATAACAAAACCCCAGCTTTCGTCACTCATCGATCCCCGCCCGCTGCGATTAGTCTGTGGAATCCTTCTAGCCTTGTTCACCAGGAGATCGGTGATGATGTTGTGATGGATAACCATCTAGATGGCAAGGATCTGAGTTTCTTCGACGAACTGGATCACCCACCACCGGTGCATATATTTTATCCGCGTCCCAAGACCAACCAGTTTATCACCAGCAAGGCACATCGAGTGGCACTATCCCTATCCCTGGGTGCATCGATCGTCCTTTTGAATTATCGTTCATCGATGATCTCACTTTGACTGCTAGACGCCCCCAGCTAAGCTCAACTTATCGGGGTCTTAACGGGAAATATATCGAGTCAGGCAGGGTCATCGTTAATCGATGGCAGTTGACTTGAAGCATCCCAACTCCTTTCTTTAATGCGAAAGGAATCTTAATCGAATTTTTTGTTCCATTTTTGTTAAACTAAAATATAGGCGGCTATGACTCTATGCTTAGACCAGTAGGACAATGTTCTTCTTCTCATTTTTCTTTTTGGTTAATTATCTTTGAGTATTATTAAAATATTCAAAATAATTATTCCTGTTCTCTTTTTATTGCCCATATTCAAAAATCTGCATAGTGTCTTAGCCGTATAACCCATATAGTAATATAGCATTGAGAGTGTTACAATTGAAATTATCGTGCCATATCATTGCAGAATATCATGTTATAGTATACAAAGTATAGTTAGAACCGCAGCTAGATAAACAAACGTAGATAATCGTTTAGTAATAAGCCATCCCAAAGGATACTAAGACTTTAAGTGTGTTTTTTTTTCTAGTTAATTAGCACCGAATCGAACATATACGGTATTGTTACAAACCTAATCTAGTGTTAGTCACTTATAGTTGGATTGTTCTTGTTTCGAAGCCAAGCTCAGGGCACACAACTCTAAAGCTATACTACCACAAGACACCAACTATATATATATATAGTATAAAACTCTTTCATAGATAGGTAATCGAACATAAACGTAAAAGGTAGTCGAAGCTGTCCTTGCTTTGTGACCATAGCTATAAACACTCTTAAACATTATAATAACATTCGAGGGCAGTGCGTTTAAGTTGAATTATGTACTTGAATGCATTTATTTTAACCCGATCTCAATCAACCTCAAAAAGCTGACTCCAACTGTGTTTAATTATTATTTCATGCAGGAGAATATTATTCCAACCAAAGCAGATCGATAGAACTGAAACGCACAGTTGCTCACTTACCCGTACTTAAATTAATGCTTAAAATCATACAAAAAAATTCATACCTTATATACACAAGTACATATGTATTGATATGGAACCTTTCGAAGAAATTAAAGTTCTTCGCGTTGAGGCAAAGTCTGAAAATGTCGTTTGGCCAGGCTTTTAAACAACTTTTACACAACTCTTAATATATGCATTATAGTTGCAAATAATTCCTATTTCTGGGATTTCTAACCTTATGTTTTCGATATCATTTTTGGGGGCTATAAATATTAATTTATTTGAATCTTTTACCATTCATTTCATTTTTATTTATTATATATTTGTTCGTATTTTTTGTTAATTAATTTTTATTTTACTTTATCTTTGATTTTACTAGTAACGACGAACCCTTGGGTGGAACCGAGCCGCCAGTCGTATGAGGATACAACCAGCAACCGAAATTAGCTTTTTAATTAACCATTACAAAAGAAACAAAAACAAAATTTTTATATACATATACAACATATGCATAAGCCCCAAGCAAAACCACAAAAAAATTTGAATATTATATGGAAAGCAGATAATGTGAAAACAAAAAAAGAAAGAGAGAAACGATCACTTCTACTACAATTGCTTCTTTGATCCTTAAGCCTAGGTTAAAGATTGTAACAAGAGAAAAGCAAATATCACAAACATTTATTTAACAAAAACGCCATGCGAGAAGTGAAACGAAACAGAAACAATAATGCAAGTAATGCAAATAGTAAAGATAATACAGATAAAGCCTAGAACCCTAAGAACTAACTAACTAACTCGAGCAACAACAACGCATACTAGCCAACTGCAACCACAACAACCACAATAGTGAAGGAATTTTAAATACTATTTTATTTCCTAGCCTAAAACTATGAATATGGTATGAGTCGTTTTTTGTAAACCCAGTGTTTAATGTTGGAAATCGGAAATCGGAAATTGGCCCTGCACACACACTCAAACACACAAGTTATTAAATAAATACCAATTGATATCATATTTACGATAAATGAAATACTATGAATGCAACTATTGTGAACGAACGAAACCCGTCGAGTGGATAAAAAACAAAAGCAGAAGATATATATTAAAATGAAATCAAGAATATTTTGGACAGTGTTTAAATTTGGGAGGCACTCATCATCAATCAATCATAAAACTCATCAATCAAAATTTCATTACATTTGCATGTTTAACAATATGTTTAAAGGACTTTCCAGGACAAAGGTAAATATATTTTTATATCCTATAAATTAACTTTAAAAAATGTCTTTAAAAAGAAAGTTTTATATATGTATGTATGAGCCAAGTTTATAAAGTTTCAACCAAGGTAGATAGTGAGTTAAAACATGGCCAGAAAGAGTTAGCAACTTAGACCTTTAAAAGTATTTACATTTCAGCACGTGTTTCGGCAGAGTGTATTGGAGAGCTTAAGGACTCTCCCCTCATTCACTCTCTTGCAAAGAGAAGTCACTTGCGCAGCCTCCACCACTTGCGCAGCCTCCAACTCTCTCTCTCTCTCTCTCTGTCTCGTTTTTTAACAGAAATCTTACAGGAACAATTTTTTTTTTTACATTTCTGAGCAGTGGCAGAATTTTCCCCCTTTTCGCCTATAAATCGGGCTCTGTCGCTGCTTGGGAGATGTAAAGAAACGTGTATTTCTGTTAGCCAACAGCTTGGCTATTTTAAACAACAGATACTATTGCCGTTTCTTTCGCACTTATGAGAAAACACCCTTTCACTCGCACTCATTCTAAGTATTGTCTACGGACTAACTGACATCGTTCGGGTCCCTTAACGATCGGGTGGCTCCCTCGGGTCGCCTTAGCGAATTTTCACGTTTTGGGGGGAAAACGTCTTTCAAAGTTTAAAGTTTCTGTTAGCCAGGTTGAAAAAAGCGCCTCTAGCGGAAAAAAACGAGTGGTTCAGTTTCAGCCCGTCAACGTTCGGGTGGCGCTCTCGGAGCCGACGAGACCACCTCATACTCATTCTACCATGGACCGACGAGACCACCTTATACTTGTTCTACCATGGCTCAGCGCAGCACCTTCGCTTCGTCGCCGATCAAGAAAGACGTGTGTGCGGAGCAGAGAGCGCTGGAAAATACGGGAGGAATATATTAGTAACCCTTGGCGCCCGCGTAGTGCTAATTACCTGTATTTGTTTACCCTTTTTTTTGCTGTTTCAAAAAAGCCTGTGAGTGTTTCAGCCTTTAGCTGCATTTTAATTAAGAAGTGCCCAAGTCGTCTACAAATTCCCGGTGCGAGAGAAGGCGAGCGAGAAAAGTGCGTGTGCCAAGTTTGTTTTTATTTTTAAAACGGCAACCGGCTAAAAAGGCAGCGGCGTCGGGTAGGAAAACACCTAATAACTATAAATTATGGTCTCGGCGGAGCATCAATAATTTTCGAATGTTTGTCAAATTGCGGGGAAATGGACGAGTGATCCCCAGATCCCCAGATATCCGTATATCGTACATTCAGCGGATGTGACTAAGGGCCACGAAATTCAATTTAAATTGATGCCAATCACCGTATTTTCGTGTGTGTTATTTGAAAGGCTTTGAAAATGCCATAAAATTTTAATAGGTTTATTTTATTTGGGTTGCCTTTCCTCTCGGCTCTTATTGTTCTTTTACTACTTGTTTTTTGTCTGATGAGAAAAATCGCAAAGAATGCCGCGTCAAGTGATCAAAATCTAATCAAAATATTTACCGTTCGTTTAGCGTGCGACAAAGAGACGGGGATCGGTGCGAAAAGGAGAGGAGTGTAGAGGATTTAACAGCCCTTTGAAATTGCAGCAGGCAGCAGGTGAGTTTTAAAACGGTAAATTGCCAATGGCTCGAAAGTAGTTCATCTGGTCAGCATAGTCCGTAAAAGTCCGTAAATCAGACGACACCCCCCTCCCCCCCCCACCGCCCACTTTTCGCATAACCACTGCCATATCGATCGATTCCAGTTGACAAGTTTTTCGCGATGGCCATGTGGCTATGTCCTTTTTTGGCCAACGGCGATGGCCAATGTGCAATGGCCAATTGCCAACTGCCGTTACTTTTATGCGTCAACTGGCCCCCAACAAAAATAAAAATAACAAGTGTTGCGCATCAAATTCAGCGCGTACAGAAACCAGAAAGTCGAGAGCCAAACCTGTCATTTGAGGGGGTGGGGCTGGGTGGAAAGGACCATCCTTCATTCCCGCTTATTTGCTCGTATTTAACATTAATGAACTGTCTCTGTGCTGGGCATTATAAAATAACCCCAATTTAAAGAGTTAGGTAACATAACTTTATTTCCACTTGAATGGCTTCTATATCTCGGGCAAATATTTGGGATAAAAGGAACTGCAAGTGTACCCTAAGGCTTAGTTATTGTTTTAAACTATTTATAAACTGTCACTCTTAGTGAAGTTCAGCTGTAGTTCGAGAACGCACATTTTTGTTGGTATTGGCAAAAGGCGAGAGAGCGGGATGCAACATGCAGCTGGGCACAGAACACGATCATCCGGGAGAAAAAGAGATACAGAGATATATCCAGAGAACCGGACTGTTGGCTAAAACCAATACCGAAGCCAAAGAGCATTCCTATTTTCCAGCCCGTTCCCGCTAACAATAAATCAAAGGGCTGAGGGGGAAAGGAAAAGTCCAACAATAAAAATCAAGGCAAGTGTCGTCGTCTCATTCTGCAGGCCAAAAAGGGAATGGGCTTGGAAGTAGGAATGGAAGTGGGATGGGAATGGGAATGGGAATTGGAATGGGAATGAGAATGGTCAGAGGAGAGCCTTTGTCTCGTTGTTGATGGGATTTCATTATTACTTTCGATTGTGGCCCATTGAGACACTCAGTTCCCTTGCTCCATCTTGTTCTTCATCGAAAATGCAGACAAACAAAAAGGTCTCTGGGTCCAAACAAAAATAAACACGCCAAGCAGCATCAGCATCGGCATCATCATCATCACCGTCATCGCTCCCATTCCCATTCCCAATCCCAATCTCATACCATCCATACATCCACATCCACATCGTCATCTTCCCGGACTCCTTGGCTGCAACTCTAATCGCATAAGCAGATAGACCAGGTGAATTGAGGATAAGGGGAGCGCAAAAGACTGGGCCACACTGAAAGGTAGAAAATAAATAAAGCGATAAATGGAAAATAAATTTCGAAAAATTGCTTTTCAAGTGGGCCTGCATCGGCATCAGGACCCCCGCTCCGAATCGAAGATCTTTTGTGTTTGATGGTGGCCTCCCAGGTTCAATAACTAACTGACTTTTCAGACCGGCTACCGATCTGAAACTTTTAACTGGGAATTGGTCCATAATGAGACAGTATTACTAGGCTAGTAACCTAAGTCTTTAGTTGGTATATGCAGTTAAATTGATTATTTTTAAGTTCTCAAACTCGAAAAATGTGGTAAAATTCGATACGTCCGAGAAAATCCCCAAGACTTGGACCATAATTTTCCCATTATTAGCGGTCAACTTTCATGGCCAAAACGATCGCGATCGATTCTCGCACTCCATTAATATTGATCCACTGATCTAGTTTCCATTGAACCCACATTCTGCCATATCTTCCAATCATAAAGAGGAAAACAGAAAGCGCCGAGTGCATTCGCCATTAAAATTAGACATTGACACTTTTTCCACTTGGGATTTTGTTTTCGATTCCGAAACGGATTTGGTTCCGTAAAAACGGCGCATAAAAATTATTTCACGCCACACCGAAATGGGCCCCCAAGAAATTATGATTAATGTTGAAAACATAAATTGGATTTGATTTCTGTTTGTTTGCCGCTTTCGTGCAGCTTTGTCTCGCTTTTTTCTCGCTCTTTTTTCGGTGTTTTGTGTCTTTTTCGGCGTTTTTTTTTTCATGGTCTTGGTCTTCATGGATGTATTTTTTTTTTTATATTTTGAATTTTTTCGCTAGGTAGCCGCCGCCTGTTCATTAGCACAGACTAATCATTGGAGCACAAGAGGCTGCCGTGGGGCAGGAGAAAAAACGATTGGGAAAAGGTGGCAATCAACGTGAATGAATGAATGGTTGAACTCTCGTCTCGACTTTGAATCTTGTGAATGAGCCCGAGATGCCGTGAAGGCATGAATGAGAGGTTTTTTTCCAGAGGAGGAGGGGTTCTGCTTCGTTTTAACCCGCTTTTTTTTTTGTGATCTTCGCTCTCCCCCCAGCGGAAGTGTAATTGCAGGCTGAATTGGCCCGGATTCCGATTTGGATTGGGGTTGGGAGTCATCTGGCCCGATCTTAGTTTTTTTCTCTTTGAGCGGTGCCTTTGCCTTGCTGGGGAAATTAGCTCCGAAAAAAACCCAAATAATGAAAAAGAAGAATGAGTAGTACTGCCCATCACAAAACATTAAGAGTCGGGAATGAAAAAACGGAAGCGCCATACAAGCCGCCAACATAATATGATCACATATGTTGTTCTGAGTGATGCCACGCCCCCAGTTCCCTGAAATCGGGGTTTAATGGAGGGAAGGGAGACAAGTCTCGGGCACGTAGATCTCCAGGTTATCACACTGAGTACATCGGTAGAAGCTGTGGCTTTTGGTAAACAGAAACCGGGAAGATTCCATAGGAGATTAATATAATTATTGGGATTCGTAGTGGTTGTATTTATTGGACAAGAGATGTGGGTTAGGAAAATATTGAATATTTGAAATAAGCAAATCTGTTCCTCAAAGAACGAATGTCTTTATAGAGAGCAATGTCATCGGCGGGCGAAACTAACCACAGTAGAACTACTGTTCGATCGGAGACAAAGACAGTGGTGCATAAATAAGTGCTCCCCTTGGCCGTACCGCTCCTTATCAGCGGGGACATCGGCGGTCCGTGACGATGACAACGGCAACTTTGGAGCGGCGACAGCGAACAGAGAGAGACAGATAGTGGGGGGCCAAAAAGAGACAGAAAGAGAGCGAGACAGACAGGAAGTGGGCTATTTGCACTCCAGTCCCAAAACAAGTCATAATTTTCGACAATGGGCCGCAGACGACACTACGGTTACGTGGAATTCGGCTGCCTCCGCCTTTTCCTCCTTTATCTCGCATATATCTCCGCCCTCCGGAGTTTTGATAAAGTGGCTCGTCGTCGTCGGCGGGACGAGAGACATTTAATAAGCGACAATTTAGCGCTGAAGTCTGACATTGACACAGGTAGAGAATCGCAGTAACAATGCCCAGGTAGCCTTCCCCTTCCCCTCCTCCTTGTTCTCCTTGGTTCTTTTTTTTTCTCAACCTCCTCTGTCGCGCTCAGTGATTCAGGAACTCCAGCAAGTGTTCAACAAAGTAAGCAAGAAAAACTGGAAGGGATGTGCGGATGTTGATATCTTGAGCGGAGATCGGCTGGAATGGTCGCCTGGTCTATAAAACCAATTTTAAACGCTTCACTTCGAAGTAGACAACGAAACTGTATGAATATGGCACTTAGAAATAACGTCAATGAATTGCAGAATATTGCATGGAACTTATGAAAAGATTTCTTAGTGTTGGCTTAAATATAGTTCATATGCTCGAAACATAAAGACACAGATATATTAATGCTAATCATAGGCCTTAAATATAACCGAACTTTGTGATCTACACCGACCGCAATGGAAATCTTTCAGTTGATCAATGAACGGACATAAATCCCAGCTGTTTGATGGATTAGAGCCCCGAATTCCCCCCTTTTTCCCGCGCACACCTGTTTCGGGCGGTTTTTAATTAGAGTCTCCCCCGAAAAGGGGAAGCAACTCCGAGGGGGTTTTTTTGGGGTCTTTGAATGGGAGGCCTGGGGCCACGATGATGTATTAATTTCCCACAATCACTGTGGAAATATTGAATGATTGAACTGCTTCGATTTCCGAGCAACTAACCATCGAAGCACTCGGATCCTCACAGTCAGAGGCGTGGCACGAAAGGGGGCTGAGCTCAGCACGTAGCTGTCAGCATCGGAGTGGGTAAAAAAGGGGGCGATCGCCAGCTGTGAATGGGGTTCGGTTCAGAACATTTGTGAACTCAATTAAAATAGCAGACGATCGGTATGTCTACGGCTATTTCCCCCATTTTTTTTTTTTTTGCTCCCGGGGATCCATGCAAATGCTGAAAACCGAGATTCCGATGCCGTGGCCGATGCCGATGCCGATTCGAACTTTGCACGTCTCACAAGCCCCCTCTATGTGGTAATTAAACCTGCGTGGAAACAGGAAAAAACGAAACGAAATAAACACATACCAGAGTAGGCAGTAACACGAAGAGTAGGAGACCGCGAATGAATAGACAGACATTCCTCGGCCACCGTGGGGCAATTAGAAAATGAGTTCGAAGCCAAGCCAGCGAACGCGAACGCGAACGCTAAAGCGACCGTTCCATTCCGAGATCCGAGATCCAAGATCCGAGCTCCATTCGCAGGCCAGCTCGTGTCATAGATCAGCGTTCATGATAAGCCAGATCTGGAAAAAGTTAAGCCTCTCGAGCCGCCATGTGCGGACTACCGAATACCTATGAAGGCGCTTCTCATCGAAAGCTCTTCGATTCCAATTCTTAACTTTCCTTTCAGGTGGGAATACCACTAGATCCAAAGGCCTCACTTTCATAAAGTTTGGATAAATAAGGACAGGGCTTTTGAACATTTCGGAACATTTTAGGTGGGCCAACCCACTTAACCATATTGTGAAATCCACACCCATACTCATCTGTAGTGATGACCTACACAAAAATGAGTTAATTAGTTAGTTAATGAGTGTGCTCTTAAAAAATATAAAGATACTAATAGGTTTTTAAAGCACAAAACCCAAGTACTTCCCTAAACCGTATAGTGTTT